TGGCACAGACCACGAGTCGAGGAGCTGCAAGAGGCTCCGCTGCAGCTCAGGGCTGTCTCCCCCGTAAGCCTTGGATAGCAGCAATGTGACTTGGTCCTTCTGCCTTTCTGCCTCCCTTTCTTGGAATATGTTTCCTCTCCTACCTCAGGCAGTGCACTGCTGCAGAAAAGACACACTGCTTTTGCCAAAGCTTGGTGTTAACTGATTGCAAGGAGCTTTTGAAATTAAGCCAGAGGCCACAGGTTGTCCACTTCTGATCTACAGTCCTAGGATGCTGCAAGACATGGGTGTGCAAAGGTGCACTGGCCTGGACCACAGAGGTTCCATTAGCTCATACACTTAATTATGGACCTTTACTCTGTTTTCCATGAATTGAACTATTCCCTCTTTAAAGCAGAGGCTCTTGCTGCATCTTGTGGTGTGACACAAATGCATGAAATACAGGTAGTCCTCCTTTAACAACTGCCTTGGATAGCAACCATTTGCAAATACAATGATAATTAATGGTAATAAAAAATTCATTTTCCCACCAATGCCTGCATTTACAATAACAAAAACCTTCAGAGTGAAACTGATTAAGGTCTGGTCAGTTTCAGGCAACAGTTGGTGGGAGGGTTCTAATCAACTATTTAAGGTCACAGCTGAGCTTGTTAACTTGCCCTTAGCACTTCTTAAGAAGGTGCTGCTCTGCTGATAAAAGCACCTCAGGAAGAGACACAGCAACTAGTGATCTTCCCGGTGTTCCTCTCTCTCTTAGTCATGTGTTCACTTTGTGACCATTTTGCTTAATGACCAAGTTGTTGGAACCAATTCCAGTCACAGAATGAGGACTACCTGTAATTGTCTTTTTTTCGTGGTTGTCAGCCACCTTGTGCAATTACATCAACGGAAAGGTAGGTTATAATTTTGGTAATAAAACAAAAGAAATTCTCTCCACTGCGAAGTGAACATGCTCCATCTAGCTCTCTGTTCTGTTTTTTTCGGGGGGTAGGGGAGGGAGGTGTTCCTGGTAGCAACTTGGTAAGACCTGCAGACTTTTTAAATTCAGGTTTTGTTGCACAGACTTGAGGAATTGTTGTGACATCGATACAGTTCCGCTGTGATGGAATGGAATTATGAAGGCCAAGCTCAGGGAGATAAGCATTTTCTTAGCTCACCGGAACC